AGGTGAAAAAAAAATCCTGTAGCTTTCAACAATATTCAGCTATCTTCTATTTGAACTACATGGAGAAAACAACCTATTGGTGTTAGTCTGAACCAACATGACACTGTATGTATTTACTGCTAGGCCACTTGCTAAGTAACATGGCTCCACAATTTGCTTTGCACAGCTTGAAACGGAGTAGGCTTCCATGTTGTAAATGGACGTAACTTTGAACTCTTAATCTAGATATAGCACTTATTCAGTAGGTGACTCTCAGATTTGTGTAACTATCCATCTTCTCTGAAAAAATGAGGGATATCATTAATATGGAAGAGGTCTTAAAACTAAGACCTTTAACTAAAGGTCTTAAAACTGGGCTGACAAAGGCATGTGGAAATGCCCAGCAAGTACAGCACAGACAATAGGTGAGGATAACAACATTTTAATAGCGTTATGTGAAGACTAAAAACTGGAAGATATAGAAAATTAATTTAAGAATTTTCCTTGTCAGCAGCTGCAGTTATGTACTATTCTTGTTTGTTCTTACTTTCAAGGTTACATTCTAGACAGCACTAAAGGTGGGATTCATCTCATCTGTCTTAGAATGGAAGCTGCTTCCAAAAACTGTCTCTGTCTTCCCTGGCAATCATGCGCTAATCGGGATAACTGAAAAGAGATTAGACATCTAACATTTAGATGGATAAAGTTAGGTAATATGAATCCCATTATCGGTGAGCAATTGAACAGTTCATCCCTGCATCAAGGAAATTTGTCTGATTCAGTAACACTCCCTTTTTCTTTTATTTATATTTTCTTTCAGATTTATGGCTACATTTATAACTGCCATCATCCTTGTCTAAAAAAAAGAGAAGATCAATTGTTGAATTCAATTAATAAAAACCAGCGAAATTTTGACTACAGAAATGACAAAAGCCATTACAACTCCATTTTAAACCTTGTGGTAGATGTACTGTACCATTCCCCATGTGACTGAAACAGTAGCAATATCATCTAGTAATCAGGAAGATATAATATTGTTTAAGTACTATTAATACATCATCTAAACAAGACTGTGTGGTATTACTAACTATAGCTACCACATTTTTAAATAAACCCAGCTATTATTCTTGATTGTTTCATGCCATGCCCAGATGAAATGCACCACTATTAGCATAATGGCCTTTTAAAAAGTATCATGTCATTTACACAACTATAGAATTAGAACTACAAAAATAGTTTGAGACAATATTTTTCGTTTCAGGGTATGTTTTGAAGTGGAGTGTGATGGTAGGTGCACAAATCCCACAGTGGGAGTTGTGTGCATACCAGCTTCACACTGAATGTAAATGAATAAGTACTGCTTCTTTCTTCTGGGCTCAGTCATTGACATTAATTCAGATCCATATTGCTCTACACAGAAAAATCCAGTAAGACACTAAAAAGAATACAAGGCAAAAGACACAGTGCACATTACATGCTACAGTATTTTAAAGCTTAATTACTACAAGCATATAAAAGGTTGCTCCCAGGAGTTCTTTACAATAGAAACTACTTAGTCATGGTCTACAGGATATGCATGAAGTATTTTATTGGGGCATAGTCCAAACTAGTTCAACGATGCTGATAAATTCAATACAAATTATTCATTCTGGTTCCAGAAGTGATTGATTATCAGTACAATGAAGGAGCACAATATACTTTATTCTGGGAGCAAGCAACTTCACTTGGTACAACACTTCTTCATGTTGCTCATCATGCCAGCAGTAACATGCCTTCACCACAAGATAATATATACTTAAAGCAAGAAGCGAAGTAGAGGTGCAACAACTGCATATCCTTGAAGATGCTAAGTGTTGCAGTAACTTCTCTGCAGTTGGATCATCTCAGTAATGCCAAACTGACAGGAAGCCACCTCTCTTTTCACACATCTACTCAGAAACCACAGGAAAATAAGACTAAAAAATAAACAACACATACAAAACACATAACAGAACAGACATGGAAAGTAAAGTTTGGAGAGTACGATGAAGAAGGAAATTGAAATGTCTGGACAATGAGAACAGTCAGACAGTCTTCTATAAGTCAGACAGTCAGTGACAGTTAGACAGACTTCTATAAGCAGGTAGAAAAACAAAGCTGGTAGTGGTAAGAGAATTGAGGAGAGAAGAGGATACGGAAGAGCACGCCTTATTTACTTCATCCAAACCAAGAGCAGCAAGATAGAATGTAGACTAAGGAATGGCTCACAGCATGGTATACAAAAACAAAATGCAAACCATGCCCTCCCAAATTAAAACCAAAACTGAGAAACAAATACATTCAGTAACATCTTCATAAATGAGCTTAATAAATGTCATTCAAATGTATGTGACACATAGTAGAGATTATCCATGGCACTTTCGCTGGAACAGTACAATAGCTTTAATGAGTACTATGAGTAACTGGGCTCAAAGCAGGACCAGCAATGCAAAGAATCAGGTATTTGTTGTTAATGGAAGGTGAGACTACAAGAAAACATTAACTACTCTATTATGTGTTTTGAAGGAAGACTCTGGGGAAAGAAGGACATCAATGAACATGTGAATATGGAGACAACATGGCAGCACAAGGGCTGGTAAAGACGAAATATACATCGTCACAATACAGTACAAATGAGAAAAGAGAAGGGGAGATGTTAACAGTAAAGTCTGCTTTCCAAATGCAACAGTCTGATACGCCAATGACTCCACAAAAAGATGATGAAGGAAAAAAAGCCTACAAAACTACTGTTTTATTTTGTACTTCCTGCAAAGAAGTTAGTGCGTGAGTCACAAGAACCAATGGAGAGACAAAATGCTATTTTCTCTCCTCTTTGAGATTGGGGGCTCATATATAAATATACACACATATATATATATACACACACACACATATACAGATGAATATGTATCTATATGCATATATGTGTGTGTATATACAGAGAAAGATAGACAAAGATGTTATCTTCCTGTGTTCTTGGCAAGGAATTAGTCCTGAAGTTAGAAGGAGTGGAGGTAGGATTGAGGTTGGAAGGAAAGGTAACGAAGAGGGCATACCGCTTTCGGCTTCTGCAAACGACAAGAAAAAAATTGCAAATCAAACACTTCGATAAGAAATCAACTGACACCAAAGTAAAAGCAAAAAAACCTCTTTATTTAAAAGTCTTCAAGGCTCAAAGGTTTTTCTGCTGATAATGAGAACAAATATATGGGTAGACAAAGAGCAAATTTAACAAGAGGAGTAAACATGGGGTGCAGGAGGGAAGAATCCTGGTTAGGCTTTCCTTTTTGTTTACTCATGTGGAAAGAAAGAAAACAAAAAAGGGGGGGGAAAGGAAAGCAAAAAATCTCTAAAAGGAATTTCAGATAAAGAGTTTGAATGTCTGCATTTTGAACTGATATTTTTTGCTATCTATTGGGACATTTTCAAGTTGATGTTCTCCATGTTCCTTTAGTATTTTTTCTACATAAGAAAAAAAACCTCTCCACAAATGAACCAAGAAAGACCATTTGTTAAGCTAAAGTAATCTCAAGGACACAAAAATGTATTTAAGAAGTGCTTTCTGCTCTTAATAACTGATTATAATATTCCTAGATACTAATTAGATATCAAGGAATGGCTAACTCACATTGTGACCTGGAACTACTGAAGCGCAGACCTCAATAGCTGGTCAGTAACGTTTTCTAAGCTCAAAGATTTCTTGGATAAGTGAGCAGTAATTTAACCATTATTACTTATACAAATGCAAAAGTAGAAAAACTAAGCATGGCTATCTTAATTAATCTTTAAATAACTTCATGAGAAAGAGTTGTCTAAAAGGATAAGCATACTGTAGTTGCTTTACCAATTATATGAACATGAGTTTGTATTTATCATATCTATATTATCTATATTTAGGCTTGAAAACTTTTAAATTCTGCTTTTAAGCAATGTTGTAAATTGTTTATAATTAATGATCTAGTACTGTCTAAATGGTTAACAAGGTGTGCTTACTGTTTTGCATAGCTTTATTAGGAGTCAGGAAAAAAAGAAGAAAACCCAGCTGCAAGCAGCAAACTCAGCTACTGCTAACTTATACATTAATATTAGCTTGGATAGAGTTCTGATGATTTATAACTACTATTGATCTCAAATTTTAACAGCAATTGGCTGAAACTCAGCTTTAGAAAACTGGCACCTGAGAGACTGCCTGGGGGACAAAAAAAAAAAAAAGAAGGGAGAAAAATGTGCATACATAAATGAGTATTTATACTATTCTACATGTAATGAAGACATTAACAAAGTCAATGAAAAGTCTGCCATTGACTCAAAATGGTACCAGTATTTATCCTTAACACTGAGATGAAAATTTGAAGGGGGATTAGGAAACCTAGAATGCCCTCACATTACTACTGTTGAGAGCTGCACACACTCCTGAATTCACTTTGTGCTCCTTTAGGTCTGAGTGCAAACTGATGAAGGAAGATGAAGCTAAACTGAATATGCAACTCCCTGTGCAAGCGAAAAAAATCAGATACATAATTTACTTACGCAGATCTTCTGACTAGTAACAGAAACTAAACTGGTGGGATCTTCTCATCCCTTAGACAAAAACAATGCTTTGAAAATTTCCCCTGCTCCTGAAAATACTGGCCCGAGACCTGTCTCAGCTGCTGCAGGAAATACTGGCTTTTAATGAAAGGGTGCCACCTACATAATATTCTAATTTTGTATTTATATGTATCATTGTTGCTCTAAATTGTAAACAATGTAAAACCTCCAAACAGTTTTACAAAATATGAATCTAAGCTATGATAAAATAAATTAGCAGATACCTACTGGTGGTCACACTCACAGCATGAAAGCTAAAAGGGTACCATAATCAGTTCTCCCTTCATCTTTATGAAGAATTACCAATGAAGAACTTAAAATATGAAGTAGAATAAAATATTTCCAAAGTCAACATACATAATTGGCAAATGACAAATTTATCTTCTTCAAAGACAGCTTGCACTTGTATACCACTCTATTCCAATTTTTATCTTAATTCCCCATCTTCTCATTTAATAAGGTGCAAGGAAATGCAACTATACCTAAAAAGTGATAAACCGAAGTTTTGTTTCATTACCTATTTAGACTAAAAGGCTCCAGCTCAGAAAACCACTAGTATGTAATTAACATATTTGGGTTAAAGAGCACAGGAACAGGTAGAACAGCAAATGTATGGTACAAGTAGCTCTGTGATACACCAGTGACTGTAAAATTATCACTGGTTAATAAAGTCAGCAGATATTACTGTGGATCAGGCTTATAAAAAATATGAATATCTAGCTTACATGTTCTCCTCTTGTTACATTGTATTCACAAATCCAGCTGTTAACATCCCTTTTTTAGTATTGTTTTCTGCAATTCTTTGGCTCTTTTTTTCTACCAAATTCATTAATTGTGAACTGTTACCTGCGTAGCTTTAAGTAAGAAGGAATATAAGATTGTATCACATTGTGTTACTTTTTGTGGGATCCTCTGCATCACCTTGTGATTAAGAACTCAATCCAACTTCCACTGAAGTTAGTGCAAAGAATGATATGGAAGCCATGAATTATCTGTTATTACTGAAAAAGACTGTAATATTAGCGCTTATGTAAGTAAATCACAATTGAAGTAATGATAACCTAAAGTCGGGCAATACTTCTTAAGGAAAAAAAAAACAGAAACCAAATATTTTCTAATATTGAAATACGAAATCTGGTAAATAGTTTCACTGCTGTTACTACTGTATTTTAATTTTCTAGGAAGAGATTAAACTGTTCAGAGACAAAAGAATAAATAATTTGCTTTACATTAGCTAATGTGGAGTGAGATCATTAAATGGAAAAGTATTTTAAGAGCCCCTGGGAGCTGAAAATATTAAAAAAAAAATCTGGTATTTAAAAAAAAAAAAAAACCAACAAAAAACCAAAGAAAGATTTCTTAATCGGCATACTGTGGACAAAAATAATATGCAATAGCACATGCACCACTTCACATATCACTTTAACATAGGAAAGAATCAAGCAAAACTGATAAGGTGTGGAAATACTCTTTTAAGTAGTTGTAACATGGTATTGCATTGCAATGTATGTCCCGCATAGGTTTTATAGATATTTTTAATATAGAAAAAATACAACATTTAATAATAAATACTAAAAGGAATGTTCAAAACCTCAGAAATTGTAGTATGAGCTCAAATGACAGAATTGGTCCTCCTATGTCGAGAAACAATTGCCCTCAAAAGTTTTAGGTAATTTCTGGCCAAAAGTAAGATGAACTAATATGTATAGTTCAAAACTTACTACAGTAGTACAGAATATAATTTTTGACAGAAAAAAAACAAAATTCAGTTAAGAGACAGCATTATCACATTTTTATTATATGTCCCTCCATATTTTGCAGACCGAATTTAGAACATGTTTTTTTATACAAAAGTCAATGTCGTGTAAAGCACCAGTGCACAAGCCGAAAGAAGATTGACTCCAGTGTTCACCTGGATTTTTATGCATCTTTGTATGAAAAACCTGCAAGAAATACTTCTTTTCCTGTCTGTGAATAAGTGCTAATAATAATGAATTTTTTCCATTTGGTTGAGGGAAGGGGTCAGGCAGTTGCTAATTTCAAGCTAATTTAATCTTTTCCAGTTTCATGATGTTATTCAAATATACACATTTTGTCATACCATATAAATACTGTTTATCTGATTTGTCTTTTTATCTCGTATGCTAAACTGGTTCTTCCAAACTCATTTAAATAAAATTATTATTTTGAGAATACACATAGCCATAACAATTTTTGATCTCACATCTATTTTCCACTGTTTGATTTTCAGCAAAATAAATAATTGGACCTCCAATTAAAATTGATACACTGTGAACAAAAACATTGAAGATTTCATTTAAGTAAAAATGAATTGCACTTCTAGAGATGGGACTATCACTGTTCCCCCACCTTCTATTGAATGTTCTGACTTGAATTAATTTAAGAAAAGAGGAATAGGGAAGAAATAAAAGCTTTTCAGTGCTATGTGAAATGGTATAACATGGTGGCATGCTAATTATACTCTAAAATGTTTCAAAGGTATAAGTATAGCCATATTCATTCTGAAAAAAAACCAGGCACAATTCTTGACAATGCATTCCAGAACTTAAACATTGGTAGGCATTTGACATACCTGCTTTCTCGTTTTTCCGACTTGTATTCTATGGCTATCATTAAAAGCTTTAGTTTTGCAAACACCAGTCTGCAGGAAAAGAAGCAGACAAGAGTCAGTCCTTTTCACAACATCACATACATAGAGATCACCGCAGGATACGTATTTTCTCTGAGAACTTACACTACAATATTTTCCATTTTTTTCAGTTAGGTATACACAGAACATATATTGAGGTCTTTCTACTTTGAAGATAATGAACACATTATTTTCCTGAAAATATAAACCCAGAAGTTGAGTGTTGTAGTGTCAGACATAAGAACCAACACACTATGTTACTAAGTCTACTTAGCCAGTAATAATAACACAAGGTCATAATACACAACATAAAATTGCACTTGGCTATAGCTTTGGATGTGTTGAGGAATATTTTCAAATCTTTGCTGGAATTCAGCTACATGTTGATTGTAGTGTACATTCCTTAGGAAATAGGTATATACTGAAGTAAAATGAGAGTACTCTACTAGTAAATAAATAATGCCCACTACTGTCACAGAGAAAGAGCATGACTGGAAACAATCTCTGACAAATATATGGGAAATACATTCTGATACTGTAATACACACGTTGCAGTTGTAGAAGTCCGTAAAAGTGACTATTTACCAAAACAACTCAAGAGTGATACTCACAGACTTGCAGAACTGTGATGTAGCACACCGCCATTTGCTTCAAGCTAACAGACAATGTGAGAACAAACAAGAAACTAACCACCTTTTTTAAACCGCTGAAAACCATTTTCATTGTAACCATTTTGTCATTGTAACATATGCAAAACCAATGCTTCCTGTTCGACGTGTTTGTCACAAATTACTCTAGGGCTCACCTTTCTACTAGATGCTATCTTTATATCATACACTACCTTTTCCAGTGTTCAGTGCTTCTCTACAAACTTCCTTGCTTCAGTGTTATTAATATTTTTGCATAGATTTCAACAATATTTATATTTTTAATGAAAAGATATTAAGGATATTAAGCAATATCCTGCACACTTTGCATCAGACACATGCTTTGCAGAAAATAAGGAAATGGCTGCTGAACTGAACTATTCAATTTCTATATCAGATTTCAGAAATCACTGTGAACAGGTAATTTCTGCTATTTCTTCAGAATATTTCTTCAGGACTTCTGCAAAGCATTTGACACCATCCCACAAAAAATCCTTGTCTCTAAACTGGATGGGTCACACAGTGGATAAAAAACTGCATGGATAAAGTGGATAAAGTCATGCATAGAGTTGTGGTCAACAGATCAACATCCAACTGGAGACGGGTAACGAGTGGTGCCCTCAGGGGTTGGTGTTAGGAGTGATCCCATTCAGCTCCTTTGTCAGTGACATGGACAGTGGGATTGAGTGCATCCTCAGCAAGTTTGCTGATGACACTAAAGTAAGTGGTTCAGTTGATACGCTGGAGGGAAGGGATACCATCAGAGGGACCTGACACACTTGAGAGGTGGGCCAATGCCAAACTTATGAAGTTCAACCAAGCAAAGTGCAAGGTCCTACACCTGGATTGGGGCAATCACAGCTACAGGCTGGGCAGAGAAATGATTCAGAGCAGCCCTGTGGAGAAGGACTTGGGGGTGTTGGTAGAAGAGAAACTGAACATGAGCCAGCAGTGTGTGCTCGCAGTCCAGAAAGACAGTTGCATCCTTGGCTGCATCAAAAGAAGCGTGACCAGTAGGTCAAAGGAGGTGATCTTGCCCCTCTGCTCTCGTGAGACCTCACTTGAAGTACTGTGTACAGTTCTGGTGTCCTTAACATAAGAAGAACATGGAACTGCTGGAGCAAGTCCAGAGGAGGGCCACGAGGATGATAAGGGAGCTGGAGCACCTCCTGTATGAAAACAGGCTGAGAAAGTTGGGTCTGTTCAGCCTGGAGAAGAGAAGGCTGCGTGGAGACCTCATAGCAGCCTTCCAGTATCTGAAGGGGGCCTACAAGGATGCTGGAGAGGGACTCTTCATCAGGGACTGTAGCAATAGGAGAAGAAGTAGTGAGTTTAAACTTAAACAGGGAAAGTTTAGGTCACATATAAGGAAGAAGTTTTTGACTGTGAGGGTGGTGAGGCACTGGAACAGGTTGCCCAAAGAAGTGGTAAATGCTCCATCCCTGGCAGTGTTCAAGGCCAGGTTGAACAGAGCCCTGGGTGACATGGTCTAGTGAGAAGCACCCCTGCCCATAGCACAGGGGTTGGAACTAAATGATCATAAAGTCCTTTCCGACCTTAACCTTTCTATAATTCTAAGAGAAGAGGTGGGATGATTAGAGATAAACATGGATGTAGGGGTTCTGACAATGCTGAAGCAATGTGCTGCATATCTCATAAGGATTCTTTGACAGGGTAAGACACCCTACCAGGCCAGCTCAGAAATACAGAAGAATGAAAAAAATGCAGCTGTGCCACATTGTGTGTGTGTAATCATGCAGATGTTTCTAGATCTGTGATTGCTGTGTATCTTACATTGATGTGGAGCAGAAGTAACTCTACTAAAATCATGGAATCATTAACTTAATGTAAAGTGAACAATACCAATGAGGAGTTTAGTTTACTAGATTAGTTAAGCAGGCAGTTCCATTTCAGATTAGAATTTTAACCATAATCTCAGCTGTGAAGACACACAGAGATTAGTACATATTCATGGTATGTTTTCTGGTCTATTCCCATCTGGCCAGTAAAATGAAACACAATTAAATTTTGTATTTTGCATGTTATGAATCACTGGCTACCAATTAATACCCCTAGCCAGGCTCAGTGCATGAAAAACATTGTTCATGCTTACTGCCAAAACACTGAAGAAAGCACTTTTCAATTTCTTTATTTAGTCAGGAGCCAACAAATATATTGGAGAGATATTTGAAACTGACGAAAAGTACTACATACAAACAGTGTCTAAAGTACCTGCATGGCAACATTTTAAATGTACTTGAGTACTTCAGTTAACATTCCCCTGATGTATCTGAATGCAATATACAAGTTTTGATCTCTTTTGCTTTTCTAAATCATGATATGAGGCTATTTATTCTTTGAAGGCTCATCATCAACAGTCCTTGTCCCCCATGCTTTAAATGATCTTCTGGCTGAAGGTTACGATATACTAGTTTCCTATCTCCAACAGGGTAATAGACAATGGAGGCAGGGGGGATGGAAGCTGTCAGGCCTGTCATGTGCAGAAGCTGCATATGTGGTATGGGTCTTTTAAGCACCTACTCTATAGACCTAACAAAGATTTTAGCAATAATTTTGTTGTGAATGCCCACACATGTGGGTAGTTGATCACATTAAGCCTGTCCACCAATTTCCCCTTCACAAACCAGTGCAACAGTTTTTTTGCTGTTCTTCAGTTCTTGAAATTGAATAGCCAGTTCTTACAGTAATGAAAATACCTATGCACCAAATTCATTAATATGTAACACCACATTACAATTTCCAATGTGCTTTAATTAACCTGAATTTAATAGATTTATTAAACTGTTGGGAAATTTGAGATCTTTTTCTTTAATTTAAACTAGGAAACACAGTTCAGCCTCCAAATCATCAAATGCTTGAGGAGAGCTCCAAAATTTAGATATGCTTCTAGATCTCAATAGATCTCAATAGATCCCCTTCTTTATCAATTATTTTACCTCAGCTCTACCAGCACAGTTAAATATATGTCAGCGATATGTCAAACTCAGTCTCAGTTACATGTTTCCAAGAACCTTTATAGAAACTCAAATATGTTTGATAATGGTTTTGCATGAAAATTTAGTTTTCAGGACTATAGTTAGTGTAAGCAGCACAAATTACCATTCATTCTGAATATAATGCAAATTTATAGAATACATTATGATATTTTCTATTTCAAGCTATTCAGGCAAAGTTTTGTACTTATAGTAATGAACATATTCCCTCAATAACCTACTCACAGTCTGGTTAGCGTAGTGGAGGGATGGATTGTGAGCATGCTTGTTTTACTAGCAAATTAAGACTGGGCTCTGTCACAGCTACACCCCAGAAAAAGACAGATTTTTAAATGGGTAATATTTGTCTAACTGTTGCCTCTCCCTCATTCTTATGCCTCATATGTTTCTGCTACTGTGAATATCAGAAAAGATGAGAGAAGTGCGAGGAGTTAAAGCAAAATCATTCACCTTTATGTAAGAGATACCTTACTTCTTCCTCTATTTCCTCTTCTAAGAATGAAGTCTGCATAAGCATTTCTATTATCTAGTTAGACACCAAACACTTCAGAGTAGGGTCTGTTTCTTTTTAAGCATTTGAACAGTCCCTTAGCAAAAGCTGTTCACAGTCTTTCTTGTGATGTTTTGATACAGCTGTAAAGCCTGTAGACATTGTCTATTTAGATCTTAGAAAAGCATTCAGCACTCTGACCCACATCATTCTCCTGGAGAAACTGGCTGCTCATGGCCTATATGGGTACCTTCTTCACTGGGTAGAAAAGCTGGCTGGCTGGCCAAGCCCAAAGAGTGGTGGTAAGTGGTGTCACATCTAGTTGGGAACTGGTCACTAGTGGTGTTCCTCAGGGGCCAGTCTTGTTTAACACATTTACTGATCTGGATGATGGGGTCCAGTGCACCCTCAATAAACTGGTAGACAACACCAAGTTGGCTGGGAGTGTTGATCTGCTAAACGTCAGGAAGGCTCTGCAGAGGGATCTGGACAGGCTGGATACAAGGCAAAGTGTCAGGTCCTGCACTTGGGCCACAACAACCCCATGCAACGCTCCAGGCTTGGGGAAGAGTGGCTGGAAAGCTGCTCGGCTGAAAAGGACCCAGGGGTGCTGACTGATGGCCACTGAATACGAGCCAGCTTGTGCCCAGGCAGTGGCATCCTCGCCTGTATCAGAAATAGTGTGGCCAGCAGGACCACAGGAAGTAATAATCCCCCTGTACTCAGCACTGGTGAGGCCACACCTCGAATACTGTGTTCATTTCTGGGACCCTCAGTACAAAAGAGATATTGAGGTGCTGCAGCAGGTCCAGAGAAGGGCAATGAAGCTGGTGAAGGATCCTGCTGAAGAGCACAAGTCTGATGAGGAATGCCTGAGGGAACTGGGGTTGTTTAGTCTGGAGAAAGAGAAGGCTCGGGGGGACCTTATCACTCTGCAACTACCTGAAGGGAGGATGGAGAGAGGACATCTCTCTTCCCAAGTAACAAGTGATAGGACAAGAGGTAACAGCCTCAAGCTGCACCAGGGGAGATTTAAACTGGATATTAGGAAAAATTTCTTCACCAAGAGGGCGATCAAGCATTGGAAGAGGCTGCCCAGGGCAGTGGTGGAATCACTATCCCTGGAAGTGTTCAAAAACCATGTAGATGAGGCCTTCAGTGACATAGTTTAGTGATGGACTTGGTAGTCCTGGGGTAATGGTTAGATATGATGTGAAAGGTCACCTCAAACCTATCTGATTCTATGATTCTGTGAAATATAACTGTGCTAAGCTATCTTGTACCATGTTTGTGGCCCCAGTAATTATCATAGAAATCTTGTGCATATATATCTCTTATTCACAGAATCATTCTAGGACAAATATAAGGATTTTCAGTCTCTAGAAATAAAGCTGTAGCATGGTTTATGCCATGCTTACATACGGTTACATACTACATCCTTCAAAAACTCCTTTCTCATTACAGAATAGATATATTCTTTCTGATGTATTTCACTTGTTAGAAGTGGTTTGCAACCAGTTCCACAGAGTTCTGGATGCCAGACTACTTATATGACTCTACTATATCTGTTTCAATTAATGAATAGTTTCCTTAGAACGGGACAAAAGCCAGGATGGTGACACTGACAACCACTGTTAGAAAATGGGAATCATTAGAAGAAACAATAGGACAGAACTTATGAGTAAATAACTCAATTTAAATGGATTGCTGATGAATTTGTTCAATTTTTCCACTGAAAACATTTATGCTTTCATTTACAATCACTTAATTCCAAATCTCTTCTGAAAACAAGCATTACAATGTTTGGAATACTTCCAAGCAGTGTTTGTTTTAATGTTTAATTTATTGGATCCCATCCGATGTAGCAAAATTAGGACTGTAGCAAAGTGAAAAGGTATCCTTAGATTTCACTTGTGAGAAGGCAAACAGTTACATATATTAATATGCATTTGTACTTACTCACACACTGCAGGGAAGGACAAACCCACAAAGGCACTAGACAGATATTCTGTATACATTTCATTTGCAACTCCTTCCAGGTAGTATTTCTGCCATGTATCCTCCTCAATCTAAAACAAAAAACACAGATGCAGACTTCTGAGTAAAACCAAAAGCTTTCATTAAAACTTAAAACAACTGCCTAAAGATGACTCATTAGATTTTAACAATTAAGTCAGTAGACTGTTATGGCAATTAATATTGTTTATTTTTTACAGGATTTCTTGGAATGCCGGGTTAAAAAACAGTCTATGTAGTCAGTGAAGTATCCTATGTAAAAATAATACACTCCATTCTTGTCAAGCACATTCAGTATGAGGTGAAATAAGGTTGTAGACAGCCTGAGGAAAAATTTTTCCCAATTTTGTCTTTCTGAAAATTCTCTGGTGCAATGGTTGCATTATAAAGTTATTTAAATTTAAAACTGTATTTTTTTTCTTCTCTGTAGCTATAACTATCAAGGAAATATGGGAAAGAAATAATGAAAGAATTTCTTCAACAGTCATTAGTACTTTCGGACAGACCATGAAAATATTTATCTTGTAATTTAACCATTTCTAATAGCTACATTTTATTCTTTGGAAAAAAAAAAAAACCCAACAAAACCCCAACAAAACAACAAACTATTTGTTTCAGTGTTTAGGTAGCCCCATTAAGGTCTTCATCATACAGAGCAGAAAATGAGACAGCATTGAGTTTAGATAGAATAAAAAAGCATATTTTTAAAAACTATTGGTAGAGATTTGCAAGCTACCTGAAAGGCTGGAGTACCAAATACCAACTGATTTCAGAAGGACTTAGATAAATATATGTATCTTAAACATTTCACAATTTATCTTTTTCTGATATCCCCAGCTTTTCCCAAAGCTCAGCTTACATTGTGTAAAGAGATGATGATACTAATCCTGGAGGAAACAGCTGTAGCCAGGCCCAGTGAAGTGGCAAAAAGGATGCTTCAGGAACATCCATCCTCATGAATTACTGCAGGTGAGGCTCAAGTGGTTTAATCTACACTGCTGATCTTTCTTGTCTAAAGTCCTAGAGCCAGTGTAGCTGCAACCAGTTAAGTATGAGCCACATTATTTTTTTTCCATTACACAGAAAACTGAGCATTTTAGAAATTCTTATCAAACAATTCAATCCAATCCAGTAAGATAAACAACTTATTACTTTAAAATTTATTTTAAAATTTAATTAAAAATTTATTTTAAAATTAAAAAAAAAATACTTTAAAGTAATAAGCGTGTTTCCTTCCAGCTTCCTGTGCCCCTCCTCAATGGCAGAGCATGAGACTGAAAAGTCCTTCATCAGAGTAAGCACTACTGAGCGACAACTAAAAACATCAGTGTGTTATCAGCACTGTTCTCAGACTAAAGTCGAAACACAGCACTGCACCAGCTACTAGGAAGGAGAAAAATAACTGCTACAGCTGAACCTAGGAAAGTCCACTATAATAATATCCAGTCAATGATTTTAATGGTATGAAATGCCTTATGGCAACAAAACTTAGGCCTGTATATTCTTTCTGGTAAAAGCATTATGGTACGTTAGGAGGGGTGTTGGGTTTGTTGTGAATGTATATTCCAATCAGCAATGTAACTGTATGTCTCTGTCAGTATTCAAGAAAATAAATACATGGGATGTAAGTGTCCTGGCTACAAGTGTCCAAAATAATTTTTCAGCTATTCAGCAATAAATTGAGGAAAGCATCCCTAAGCAACAATTTATCTTTGTTGTGTCAAACAGCTGGTTTAAAACAGTATCAAAACAACAGGTTCTTGCATAACGAGGAAATCTCACTATGTAAATTCAAAAAACAATAAAAATTTAAGGTGGGAAAAACTAAAGCACATATGCTAATTACCAGACAGTTCAGGTCTGTGACCAACAATACACTCTATGCATTTATAATGTATACAGCAACTGGCTTCTGCCTCTTAAATTTAAAAAAGAACTCAAGCCTACATAGATACCACTCAAGACTTTATTCTGGATATTAATTCTATTTTTCCTTTAACTATTTTGTTTATATTGTTGTTTTGGTATTTCTACTTATTATTATTCTACTCTAAATTATGTTTCTAAGCAAGGTATAATCAGATGAAAATGTTAAGTGTCTAACAAAACTTTCAAGCTAATTAATTGATATTTTTTAATTTTAAATTAAATATTTAGGAGCTTTTAAAATCTTATGTGCTTTACAAAACAACATTATATGAGCACAAGCTGTAAAAGTAAACTACATCTTAAAAACAAAAACTGTAACAGTTATGGAGTCTAATTAATTCCCCAAGGGTCTAGAATATATTTTTCTTGTTCCTTCTTACAAATTTTTAGTAAACACTTTATATTCTCCAAAAGTTTTAAGTTATAGTTCTGTATTTCATATTCCTACTCCAGTTCCAAATCATGAAGCCCAGAAAATGTCATAAAATAAGGATTCTATAGAAATGCAGCAATGCTCCTTTTCTAATCCTTTTCTTTTCCTCTTTTGGAGAGCCGCCTTCACTCCCACTTCCCCTGCCTGCAGTTCCGTAAGTCTCTGCCCTTGACTCTGCCTCTTTATTTCTTGCCTTTACCATATCATCACCTGATATCACCCACAATACCAAGAGAACTGTTTCCCTATGCTGATGTCCTGTATATCTTGCTTTCTATTTCCCTCTTAACTCTTTTATCCAAATGGAAATACTAGCTTGCCTTATTGACATGTACCAGAGGATGTAGAGCCATCAACTAACAGCACTTTCACTGATAGAGTTCTTTTTCTTACTTCACCATCAGCAGTGTTTCCACCTCTTCCTTCAGGCTCATAATGTGGTTATCTTCTTTGCCTGCCTGCTTCAACCCAGTCATTTATTCTATGCCCAAATTGTACAAACCCCTTGTTTTCCTGCTAATCAGGAAAAGCTGTGAAAAAAAATGTCTAAATAACGTTAGAAGAAAATTCACCTTTAAAAGCTTTAATAGACAGTAAGACCAATTCCATGTCTAACTAGCATTTTATGGATAGCCAGTACCAAAAAAGTGAGGCATGCAGTACATACCAAGCCCACTGAGAAAAATTATTATTCATTACTGGGAAATAAAGCAACAGCCACATTAAAAGGCTTCAAAAAAGGGAATTAGAGCTTAGCCTTTATATAAAAGCTACAGCTCTGCTGATTGTCCAATTGAAAGAAGAATTTTAATACCACATCCATACATGGCTCGTATTGAAACACTATAATCATAATAATGCTGAGCTTTTCGAATTCTTTAGCAACTCAGCTATACCTCTTCCCTGTAATAGCCTGATCCACAGCTTGTTTAAATCACTCAAATCTCCTCTACCAATTCTGACATGTTTAGATCGTTGTCTGGACAGCACAAAGCAGAAGGAAACAACAGTGTATTTTGAAATAATGAGTTAAGTTAGGAAAAAAAAATAATTCAGATTATATCATTAACATGTTATAATGTTATATTAAAATAAAATTATGTTGTTATATCACATTATTAAATATTACTATTTCTTTTATATGTTATGTTATAGCATAACGTAACTTTCATTGGTATTTGGTGTGACACAAATCTCCCTGGGGAAAAAGAGATCCAGTATTAAAAAATTCTGAATTCCACAGCTATTTTGACAGGACTTGTATAGTATTTTATGTAAGTTTGCACTGTTATCCTACAGCCTGTGTATTAATTTTGGATTCAGCAATCTTTTCCCCACATTAAACCAGTCAAAAGGCACCCTTTAAAAAGAATGTTCTAAAGAACGCAAGGATTGGAAACCTTTTAAGAAACCAGTGAAATATAAATTACAATGAATTTATTTCTTTTACATTTCCTTCTCCTGTTGACAGGCTGCCAAGTAAGCAGTTACTTTAGTTCTGGAGAACTAAACAACTGCAAGAATAAATTGCAATATGGAGATGTTCCAAATCATACACTCCCTGACAAGTGGGCTGCAAACAATCAAGAGAAATTTCTTCCATAGAAATTGTTTCACCATTCAGAGATCATGTGGGATGCTAAAAGGGATTTGTCTTGTGTTACTCTCCACCACACACAGAGAAGTCATATCAAATTTTTTATAACCTTATTATTTATGTGAACCTTGCAAATATTGCTGATGAGCAACTCTTTACATACAGAAAACAGACAAAGTGCAGGCTTGGTAACAAATAACAATAACGATAGCAAGGATGTGTTTGTAACTGATGGTCTATTTTGTAGCTTTTTCTTAGATTGACACCACCTGAAATATACAAATACACTATGTGTTTCTCCTTTCTACTTCCTTCTTTTGCTTTCTTTTCTTTAGGCAGATGGGTTTTATTTGAAGGAAGGAACTGCAGATCAGACCTCTAGTTAAGAAGCCACCCTTAGTCAAGGACCAAGAAAAAACTGGAAAAAACCAGTGTCATTCAGTAAGCAGTGATAAAGCTTCATAGATAATGGTTACCATTTAAGATCTGTTAGGAGACCATGAAATGTTGATTAATGAATTTAAAGAATTGCTGATATATGGGATGCTATAAAATGTTATTATAAGATAATGATGAAAATGATGGACTAAAGATGATATTTGCATTTATCTCCATTTGAACTATGACATTTTCTCTGTGATTTCAAAGAAAGAGATGATCACCTGCCAGGTATTTTTTGAAAGGGAATACCTGCTGGTCTCCTAGAAATTAAAAGACCATTAGGAACCTCTGGTGTTCAGTATTTCTTTCCTTGAGTCTTGCAGTTTCCCAACTTTTAACAGAGCAAGGTTTCACAGATAAACATACCCTGTTTCTCTCGTTATTAGTGAAGTAATAATTTCAAAATCCTTGAGAAAAAATGCTTTAAGACTTACTGTGTTCTTGACTACTTTAAGCCTTTTTGATGTTGTTATAGACTCTGCTGCTGCAGTCAACCTCAAAAACTGAACCCCTAAACAGATCTGATTATTTTCCTTTAAAATAGTTAACTGTAACTTGGAGTGATTGTTGTCCAGTCTGTCTCTAGATTTACTGATATTTATCTATACATCAAAAGCAAATTGCCAAAACTTTTTAACTAACTGTTAATGTAG